TACCTAATCTGAGGGTGGTTCAGATTGGTACTGGGTGGAGTCAAAAGGAAGGACTTTTGCTTTTGTATAAATATGTAATTACAGGCATGTATGTTTGAGAAGTTATGGGGGTTCTGCAGGCCATTACCCCCTCCCCAACTGGCTACTGCTCAGAGTAAATAAGTCAGTGTGAGCAGATCCATGTGGCTTTGTCTTTGCCTTCTTTACTGTTGGAATCACTGCAAAGACCATTTCTAAGATTGGAAAATGAAGAAGTTGACTCCCTTGGCAGTACTTGTGAATTGAATTGGGATGGTAGTGTTCAGGACAGGCTTTTTGCTCTCTGCCAAAGAGGGGTGAAATCCCTTGGAGGAAGGGAGTTATTGAAGTATGGTGGAGGGGAGGTTGGCAATGCAGCCATCTGAGATACCCAGGGTAGAGGGTGCCTTGTCAAGACAATGTGAATGTCCCTGGTGCCTTTGTACCATCCCTAAACCTGGGTCAGGCTAACCCCCAGACTAGGCAGCTCTCTCAGTGGGGACTCTCAGAAGTGCCGGTGCTTTTGCTTTGTAGACTTAATCCCAATTGTAATTGGTTATTCAGGTGATTATTCCTGCAACTCCATGTCCCAGGGAATTTTTTTTTTTTTTTTTGAGACGGAGTCTCACGCTGTCAGCCAGGCTGGAGTGCGGTGGTGCAATCTCGGCTCACTGCAATCTCTGCTCCTGGCAGAGATTCTCCTGCCTCAGCCTCCCGAGTAGCTGGGACTACAGGCGCCTGCCACCATGCCCGGCTAATTTTTTGTATTTTTAGTAGAGATGGGGTTTCACCGTGTTAGCCAGGATCGTCTTGATCTCCTGACTTCGTGATCGGCCCGCCTCGGCCTCCCAAAGTGCTGGGATTACAGGCGTGAGCCACTGCGCCTGGCTCCAGGGACTCTCTTGATTAGTCACTTCTCTATCCATTGCAGCTGGCACCTCACTGATGTCTCAGTTTTGGCTGAATGCAAGACAGTATGCTTTATTATTTAGGGCCACATATATATGTAATGTAAGAATAAAGAAATGTATGGGATCATTTGACAACAAATTCAGCAAAATGAAGAATTTGATGGGGAGGAAAGAGATTTACTCCTAGGGCTATTCAGGAGTCTTCAGTTGTGTTGGTAATGTTTTACTTCATGAGGTGTTTGTTTGTTTGATACGGGACCTTGCTCTGTCACGCACGCTGGAGTGCAGTGGCACAGTCATAGCTCACTGCAACCACAAACCCCTGGGCTCAAGCAAAACTCCCACCTCAGCCTCCTGAGTATCTGGGACTACAGGCATGCACCACCACTGCCGGCTTATTTTTAAATTTTTGTAGAGACAAGATTTCCCCATGTTGCCCAGGCTGGTCTTAAACTCCAGGCCTCAAGTGATCTTCCTGCCATGTTCTCCCAAAGTGTTGGTATTATAGGTTTGAGCCAGGTGTAGTGGCGGGCACCTGTAATCCCAGCTACTTGGGAGGCTGAGGTAGGAGAATCGCTTGAACCTGGTAGTGGAGGTTGCAGTGAGCCAAGATTGTGCCACTGCACCCCAGCCTGGGTAGCAGAGGAAGACGCCGTCTCAAAATAAGTCAATCAATAAACAAACTTGCTTTTACTTTACTCTGTGGACTTACCCCAAATTCTTTCTTGAGTGAGGTCCAAGAACTCTCTCTGGATTAGGACCCTTTTCTGGTAACCGTATGTTTCTACGGCTTGCAACCAAGAGTCCTAACCAATAAACCCTCCTTTCTGAGTGCTCATCTCCCCGATATAGGCCAGAAATAGACCAGACCTATTTCTGCACGCAAATGGAGAGTGGAGGACTGGAAAACCATGGTCCTTTGCTCACAGGTAACAAAATTGAACCCTGGCCTAGAAAAGTTCAGTGGGCACTGGTGATTTTCCTGCTGGCCCAGATACCTGCACAATCCATAGTGCTGTCCAAAGTTGGGCCCCAAGTTACAGCTTTTTAGTAGTTCACATTCTCACACTCAGCCACTGTTCTCCAAAGCAGGACATGTAAGACTGGCTGGACCCAGAGAGATTTCCAGCCTTAGCCAGATGCCGTATTGAAACCAGCTTCTCCACTGAACTCTAGGCCTTTGTTTTGGGCCCTGTTTTCCAACCTGAATGCCCACTTCTTGTTAAATTGTCCTTTGTCAGGGGTATTGTGCTTAACCCAGACAAATTCTCTGAATTTCAAGTCTTGAGAGTTTTATTTCTGTCTCTACTAAAATGCTCTGGGCTGCTATGCAAATTGGTCCACCCCCTCTCCAGGGCTCCTCATACCAGGGAATCTCTAGGAGATGCTCAGTTTTTATCAAGGATGTTGTCAAAGCTATTTAAATTGTACATTTATAGGATAGTCAGGTGTGGCCACAGGAGGAAAGATAGGAGAGGCTTGTAGAAGAAAGTTTATTATACTCACAGGTCCTAAAGAGGGGGTCATCACACACTATGTGGAGGTCACTGGGGAATATGCGGGGGTAGTCAGGAGGCAGAACACTGGATGGGAGAGAGCTTGGGCCATGGCCTTTATTGAAGTTTCTGAGACAGGGCAGGTTAAACAGTTGAGGAGTGGCGAATTGAGTAATTTTTTTCTCTTTCTTTTTTTTTTTTTCTTGAGACAGGGTCTCACTGTTGCCCAGGCTGGAGTACAGTGGTGCCATCACGGCTCATTGTAGCCTCAATTTCCTGGGTTTAAGTGATTCTCCCATCTCAGCCTCTGAGTAGCTGGGACTACAGACGTGCCACCACACCTGGCTAACTTTTGTTTGTTTTTTGAGACCAGGTTTCACCATGTTGCCCAGGCTGAAATTTTGATAGGCTCTAAGTTAGATGGGTGGCCCCTAGTTGCCTGGTAGCAGGGCCTGGGATGATTAAGGCAAAGGAATATTCTCTTCTGAAGTATAAGGGCCAGATAGAGCTAGGATGGCTGTAGATTAGTTAGTCTGTGCATCAAAGGCATGCTCCTGGCTGGTCCCTTTGCTATCTCTAATATTGGCTATCCCCGATAAGGGCAGTCTCTCCCCAGCTGGAAAGATTTTTCAAGATGTTAAAACAGGCTGGGTGCAGTGGCTCACGCCTGTAATCCTAGCATTTTGGGAGGCTGAGACAGGTGGATCACCTGAGGTCAGGAGTTCGAGACCAGCCTGGCCAATATGGTGAAACCCCATCTCTACTGAAAATACAAAAAATTAGCTGGGCATTGTGGTGGGCGACTGTAATCCCAGCTACTCGGGAGGCTGAGGCAGGAGAATTGCTTGACCCGGGAGGAGGAGGTTGCAGTGAGCCGAGATTGCACCATTGCACTCCAGCCTGGGCAACAAGAGTGAAACTCTGTCTCAAAAAAAAAAAAAAGTTAAAACAGCATAATACACAGAAAATTTAAAATATACACAATGAATCAAGTAACAAAGCCTTCCTTTCCCTAGGACAAAAGTATGCCTTTATATTTGCATACGAAAATACGCCATTTAAGTGATTTTGCAGAATGCAGAAAATCTGCTCCTAGATGACTTTATCTCTGCTTATTCAGAGAAGTAGCTTCTGTGGTTTTCAAAAGGTAAAAGGAAGAAAAAAAGCTCTTATTTCCCAGTATCCTGCATTGTGAACAATTTCTGCTTGCCAAGTTAGTCTCCATTTTCTTTCCATATCCCAGCTCCTATACCTTTGCATATGCAGTCTCTCAGCTTAACCTTTCCTCTCCCATTTTTGGAATTTTACTTATTTATTTATTTATTTTTGAGATGGAGTCTCGCTCTGTCGCCCAGGCTGGAATGCAGTGGCACAATCTCAGCTCACTGCAACCTCCGCCTCCCGGGTTCATGCGATTTTCCTGCCTCAGCCTCCTGAGTAGCTGGGATTACAGACGTGTGTCACCACACCCAGCTAATTTCGTATTTTTAGTGGAGATGGGGTTTCACTATGTTGGCCAGCCTGGTCTTGAATTTCTGACCTCAAGTGATCCACCCACCTCGGCCTCTCAAAGTGCTGGGATTATAGGCATGAGCTACCACACCCAGCAGAATTTTACTTTCTTTAAGGGTCAATCCAGGATTACATTGCTTATGAATTAATGATATAACCATTTGCTCTCTTGTTTTCCTAAATATTAGTCTTTTCTCTTAACTAATGTACACATTCTTTATGAGTAGGAACCACATTTTCCTCGTTTATTCTTTAGCACTTAACATTAATAATAATTAGTGACTGAATAATTTCATGAATAATCAAATACCTTTTGTAACAAATGGTACTTTGAATATTTGAATTTTCTTCTTTTTCCTTCTTTTTTTTTTTTTTTTTT